GTTGTTTATATTTATACAAAAAAAACACATGAGAAGGTTATAATGAAAATTATTATGTAATTTTACCAATTAATTTAATTCATAACTTCTATTATAGTAATGCAACTGCTAACATCTCCTATAAATTTATATCAACATTTATTGATATGATTTTATTCATTTTATTTTTTAGGTATATAGAATAATTCTACAACGTTAAGATATAAATTTCTGAAAACTGATTTTTGACATCGCATACAAAGATACAATTGTGACCTTGATTTATTATCAGAAGAAAAAGGAAAATGGAATTTACCAATTGATCAATCAGGGTAACATAAAGGACAATGCAAAAGATAGAAAGAAAGCAAAGGAAAACAGAAGCAAAATGGTAACAAGCGTGAGATGAAGACGGCCCATGCTTGATCGTTGCTTGATCGAAAGGGATTCATTCAGAAAGCATTTTAATTGCGCGTTTCGCTTATCTAAAATATGTCGGCTTATCATCGACGTATCGTCTGATTTTCCAACTGACAATCCATTGCTTTCGATAATCACCTAAGTGACGGAATCCCATCATCTTTCTCCGATAGAGGATCCAAGATTCGTATACAACGTAAGCGTCTCACACTGGCGTATTTATTCGAACAAGAAGATAACTGTACAAGAAAGAATTATTAGGTAACCATTTTATGGAACAAAATTTCGGACGCAACAAACTTCTCAGTCTTCGTTTCGAGAGACAGTCAAATAAATCAACCAATGAACGATTTTACATAACGCTTACAATTTTTCACTTTACGTTACAATAATAAGGATTCAATAAAAGATTCCGTTATTTAAGAGCAATACTGTATATGTCGACTTATTGTCTTTAATACTAATAATAATAATTACATGTAAACATTTATTAGTTGATGAAGTTTTTTAAAATAGATGAAGTTATAAGCTATTAATTGTGCTGAGACTACCTATCATGATTTGAAATAGTTATTGAAACTGATTGGTTAACTGATTGGTTATTCATACATGATTGAGAATAGAGTAGAAGAAAAACTAAATATTCTTATTCTTTTATAATAATAAAATTTGAAACAATTGCAACATTTCTTTTAGGAATATTATTCTTCCTGATATTTTTTCTAATAATCTATGAGGATTTTCTTGATTCTATTTTGTCTAATTTGTCTAAATAATCCACGAGAACTTTGTGCTACACGAATTTTCGCAGGGAAATCCAGAAATCGAATAATTAATCAGAAGTCATAAACAATGGAGAAGATATGATTGATTGACTGTTTACATTTTTCTGGAAAGAATAAATCATTTTAATGGATTAAGAAAGCGACACAAAGTTACGCATCAATCAAAAATTCTCGAATAAAAATACAACGGTTCCTTAGATATTAAAGGATACTACATTCATAATTGATTTCGATTTAAGTAATCATGCAACCAAATTTCAAACCGATTTTTTAATAGGCAAAAATAAAACGTTGCTAAACATAAACAAGAGAAAATAAAATATTTTAATCTTCAGAATACGTGAAAAAAACTTCAATTTTTAATCAAAAATAAAAAAATTAGTTTTTATATAAAAAGCTAAAATATTTTTTAAAGCAGTATTTACAAAAATAATCATTCATGAGGATCACGTGGAGCGACTTTCGTGATATTTACAAATTTCGAACGAATCCATACAGAATATAGGAGTAAATGTCGAAGTGGATGTCAAATATTCCAAAACTTTATGAACCAAAACAATATGTGATTTGTTTCATTACCTTAAAGTAATTTATTAATACAGAGAGGATTCTTAACAAAATTACTGAAGATATTGAAGGTTATGTAGAGTATTATTCAAAAGTAATAACTTGGTCAATAAAAATTAATTTTATTTCATTTTATTATTTAAACTTTGCTTATATCTTAAAGATCGTTTTCTTTTTAAGTTTGTGTTCACTGTTTTATATCTGTGTAATTAAAGTGTAAAATGTAAAACGTCCATAAAGACATTTTGGACCACGGTGACGATGTTCTTGGTAAGTTTAATCCAATAAACGATTGAGAATATTCCAAGCAGTATAAACAACTCCTAGTATAAATTACAGTTTTACATAATGCGACTTTCTCGAGTAATATTAATTCCATCTAGACGTCTTTTTCTACAGTTTGTATCACTGGTTTCTAACACTTCACCCCCTGCCAGCTGAAATACCGTTATCCAACTACCCATAACCCGACTGAGTTTCTTCCCGCTTTATGTTTCTACGAGCAAAAATACTGTAGAATAAACTGTTTAGTTTGTCATACTTTTTCATTCGTCTCTAAAACGAAGTTATCAAATCCAATTCAGTTGAAAAAGAGAACAAACAGTGTTGATGTTTTAGTACATTTTATGGTGAAAGAATTAATTGGTGGAAATTCGTATGATAGAATATCTTTGTCCTAGAAGAATTTCTACAAATTTTCGTGCTAAGCGATTGCTTGTTTATTATGTGTCTTAACAGATAAATGGAACATTAAAAATGCAGATAAGCGATAGTGAAATGACACTTTAACAAGACATAATCTTAAAATTATCGTTCAGAAGAGCATTAGTGTTATTTTTGCTCATAAAAAGTAACCATATTCCTATATTTTTTGTATTCTTTATGACGGATGCTGAAGAGGAATTAAAAGATGCATATAAAAATCGGTATTTTCTTATGTCTCAGACATCTACAACGAAAGTATTGGCTATTGATGAACGCAGTCTTAATTTTTCGACAGCAACATGTTTTCAGTGCGTCGCTTCGATAACGATGAAACTCTTCGTATATTAGCGTCAAATCATCAGTATCATAATGTAATATGTTTACATTATTATATATTATAGTAATACAAACGTAATATAAAATAATAAGTCTATTGAGAAGTAAAAAATATATGCTGCATATACGCTACATATATTTCTATATTTTAAAAACAAAATATTTTTAATATTATTGAGTGGATAGCTTACATGTCTTTAAACTATATTACGTAATTAGAAATTATTTTATTCATATATATTGCAACTTAAAAATGTATAATATTCTTTTAGAATGTAATCTAACAAGAACCTCAACAGATCCGAAATAAATGGTCGAAATGTTAATGAACCTCCAATTTTATCTCTGAAATTCGAGTCATTAATATTATCAATCAATAATAAATATTCAAACAAGCACAATAATAACTTTTTCGAGTTATACGTTTTTCATAATACGAATGTTGAGGATGTACGTGAAGCTATCATTTCAGTCACTTCTGGAAAAATGTAAATATATTTATTCTACAATTCTTCTCTAAATAAAAAAATTATGTTAATAAAAAACTTACAAGAATAATACAGTCTATTCGGTTGCAGGTTATTACTCTTTATTTTTATGGTCATTTAATTTTGTTTTTTTACTTTTCACTACATAACACCTTTTCTTTTCGATGACACTTCTCTCCATCATACTTTTATTTCAGAACTAGTCCTCACTGCCGTCAATAAGTATTAGGATACTTGCAACTTTTATTTATTATTTAATAATTTGTTTAAATTGCTAAATGCTGATATTTCTATTATTTTATATTACACACCCTCATTTCTAATTGTTTCTTTATCAATGGATAAATTAGGTGGATGAATTAATTTAAGATGTAAATCGTGTTTTACATTTCACGAGCTTCACATACACTATATGATTGGTTTTCACTTGAATACGATTTAACTTCTAATCTTTTCCAACCATATAATTATAAGCTCATGTTATTTTTTATTTTCGACCATTATTTGGACCATATTCAGGCTTATTCTAGAATTGAGTTAATTCTCACTACTCGTGCATTGCTTTTATACTGAGGACCTTATTTATTATTTTTTTCTCACATTAGGTTTATTAAGATATTGTGGTAAATAGATTCATTTCCAACTTATAATTGACAGATCATGACGGTTACTCATAAGAAAGAAATATTAATTACAAATTATACGAAAAATGATGTTTTATACTGTAGTACAGAAAGAGTTCATTAAAAAAATTACTGACAAGATAAAAATTTCCAAGTGTACGATCGGTTATGTTTCAAGAAAATTTGCTATTCCTATTTATTTCACAACTGATTAGATCATAAAGAAAAATAACAAATACGGAAGACAATCGTTTACAAACGATCAACGAACTCGATCACAGAAAGAGTACGTGAATTAGCTGCAAAATTACTGTACTCCAAGTAACAGAACCAAAGAGATAACTTCTTCAAGGTACACGTCAGAGATGCGTCGAAGAAATGCACCGTCGAAGAAATAGATCGAAATGAAGAGAAAAAATTATCCCAACGAGTAAAAATGAAAGAAAATCGACGAATCACTCAAAGTATATGCTTCGAACAGAAGAGTTGAAGTTTGTGATTTTCGGAGCAATATTTTATGTGTCCAGTACTTATCGACAGCAGTGTTAACTTCATCAAATTGTTTTCTCCGGCAGGTGAATCACTTTTTTGCGTTTCAACCTGCTGTATATGTACGAGATAGGACACTTACATTTGGTTCCGCGTTAGGCGATGTAGATTGACGAGATCGTGAAGAGAACGCGTAATCCGAAGCGGACGTCATCCCAGTATTCGTATACGAAAACTTTAATCAGCCCGTAGTCAGGATCATTCACCACCGGTTGTCGCGTGCGTACTCGCGACCACTAACCACCAACAGCGGACACTTGCTACCGCATCGCGGTCAACAAACAACCACGGATTCGATTTCGATTTCAAAACGAACCAAACTGAATGCGCACACGTGTGAATCACGAGGCACGGATAGAAAACATTCAAGTGTCCGAATATCGTGGCGGAGATGCCGAGATCGTTCTTTTAGCCGATCCTCTTCGAACCATTTTCGACTGGCTTCGCACAACAAAAACTGATTGAAAAGAAAAAATCTCGAGCGGTACACGAGCCTTTCTAATCAATTTATTCGAACGGTGCTCAAAATGAAATAAAACAACACTCACGTGCTTAAAGTGAGACGCATCCAGGCGCGTTGCGTCAGCAGCGTCGACGCATTGCGTCGGGCTGGCTTTCCGGAGCTACTTTTTAAAATCCTTGCATCTAGCGGCTTCTTGATCTTGCGATTTCCCTCCGCACTCCACAATTTCAATCACACCGACACTGTTTGTCGCTTCGATCGGACAATGTACTGTGTCAAATCGATCGAGATCGCAATATATTTATACTTTGACACGTCACATAGACCGATTGATCGAACAATTCACAAGAAACCAAAGAGGAAAGGAGGGAAGGTAAACCGTTCGTGCACCCCACGTACTGGTAGACGTAAACACTAGGGTCGCGAGCACCACCGGATCAAGCGAACGAGCACGTAAGTAACGAAAGAAACTCCTCATTCGCATCGGGCACTGTTGGCACGATCGTTCACCCCTTCAATGCACTAGCTGCCGGTCGTGGCACGCGATCGAATGTTGAACGGTGATAGTGTAAACAACAGGACAGCTCAGGTAGCAGCACGAAACCACTGGGTGCACTTGGACTGCCGCCAACATCTTCGCTCCGATCCGTTGCCGGGGTTCCTTGGCGCTCGGCCAAAGTGGCATGTCACGAGGGTGAACGTAAAAAGAAAAGGCAACAGGGAAGTTGCGTTACACTCGCGTTGTCGAGGTGCACTCGGTCAACCTGTAGTCCGCAAAAACTATCCCGTCGATTCGACGCGCATAAAAGGGCTAGCCGATGGTTGTCGCGACGGCACGTTGGACCATTGACAACGGGACGTGTTGCGATGCGCTATGGCGAGTTGTCACCGAACAACTACGACGTAACTGCGAAGGCGGCAGCGCAACAACACGAGCGTAGGAACGACGATATACAACCACTGGTTGCGAGAGACCCGGAGGCTCGGAGGCGCGCGAGTCAGCCCCACTAGTGTTCGCTTCTCGCTTACCTGGCCGCTGCCCTGCTGCCGTTGCTTGCCTAGACCGTACCCCCACCCCTTTTCGTACCACCCCTCCACTCGTTGCGTACACGAGGCTGCCCCTCCATCGTTCTTACTTAACCCCGCTCCTTACTTACTAACCCCCTCCTCTCTCTTTCTATCTTCTTACCCCTTTTTGCAACATTCGCTCTCGCTTAACTCATTAACGCCCAACCGACCGTATGAACGTCGATTGGTTTTTCGCGTGGAAAACTTGCAAAATGGATCGAATTTACGATGCCTGATATCGACGATATAGAAACTAGTTTATTCACGGTTTACGAGAAAATGAACTACAATTTTTTGACTGCTGTATGGTTCCGCTAACACTACTGGAATTTTAGTGTGGCTTTTGACTATATTTTTAGTGTTATCAACATTTTGACGACTGCATCATGCATGTGTGAATATCGTTTAAGTTCTTACACGAACTTAGTTTGATAATATACTAATCTTAATTATGTATCTTAATAATGTAGTACCGGTACTTTTGACGTGTTAATAATGTACCTCCTAAATTCCTAATGGGTTAAGTATATCTTAATAATGTACACGTTCATTGTATCTTAATAATATTCCTATAGTATTAATAATATATATACATCTCAAGTGTATCTTGAGAGTATCTACCTATATTATTATTAATGTATATATTAAATATATTTTAATAATATATATCATGTATTACGATTATATATATTAAGTACGTCTAATAATATATCTATAGTATTAAGAATATGTTCTACTCATTCGTTCACTCAGATGGAAAATACAGAAGAGCTCCGTACAAGGCGGTTAATACGTTACGGACTATAGAAATTCGCGTTATAGGAGATCGAACGGTACGGGAATTTTTTTCATAGAACATGAATCATTTATTTTTTATTTTTTTATCAAGTAGGGCAGTATTTTGAAAATAAATCACATATATATGCAAGTGGTTAAAAAACTCATATTATTAGTGTAAGTATAAAATCTTTTATTTAATTGAAATTTCATAGAAGTATAATTATACAAGTTTATACAATGTAGAAAACAATGTAACAAAGATTTTATTCTGAGATAAGGTGATTCTTGTACGAAAAATCACGTAATATGAAAACAATTGCCGAAATATCTTTGGCCTATTATAGGAACTTGCGCTGCAAGAACTCAAGCTATACAGGACTACTATACCGTATTAACTACTTGAAATTTTGAATAATAAATATAAAAAAGTGTTATGAAAATGTTTGTCAATATTGTTGAAAATAAAAATAATACCTCATAAAATTATCAGTTGCATGAATGTGACAGTCAACGTTTCAAATAGGAATTGTTTGATTTTTGTAAAACGATCGAAAAAAAAATTCTGATATGAGGAATGTAAGAAATAGTTACGTGTGCAAAGTAAATGATCCCAGATTGGGACATGGATGTGATCGTTTGTAAATAGTCATTTTTTTATTAATGATCATCTGATGCTGGTATCTTTAAGTTTTAAAGCAGTCAGCTATTATGACTCTTTTATTAACCACTGCGATATATTGTAATTGTTTCTGTAAATATATCATTGTTAAAATATCATTGCAGTGATCATTTACGAAGATTTTCTATGAAACTGTTAAAAGTTTGTATAAGGTATTCAAATTTCCAGGAGGCCAAAATCTATTTCGTATAAATAGTTTATGATAGATTAAATGTATGTTGGAACATTATGAAAATAAATCTAATAAATCTTGAAATATCCAGATCATAGTAGTTAATAGTCCCATTTTAACTTCTTTCTACGCACGTCGTAAACTATAAATCTATATAATGCTAATATATCTGTAATACATTGCAATGTTCTTGTTTATATTTGATATCATCAATGATCTAATATTAAGGTATTTCTTTATCTACCAATTTCATTTTGCTCTTATTATGATTATAAATATATTTTACATTAATTTTACACTATTTTTTACTACTGTAATGTAGCATCTCATGGAAATTACATCTCAGGTAGAAGTGATACATGCACCAATATGGCGTCGTTTTGAATACTGGTTGAAAATAATTTCTGAATACTTGTTCATCCTTTATTTATAGATAACAATAATTTATTGAACATTTTATCGAAATTTTCAATTATATTAAAATATCTTTAATTCAGTAATCAACAGAATTATTCATAAGTAAACTATTAAAAATAGAAATATTTATATTATTATTTGTTGAATCAGAAAATTTATCAACACTCCATCTGTTTGGAGATCCTTTGAAGGAATATGTGTAGGTAAGCATTACAATAAAATGTTAAGAAAATTAACAATTTCAGAATTATTTTAAATTAAATAGTAAGAAATTTCACATAAAAATTGTAAACATTTGACAAATTCTTAGTGTTTTTGATTTTTTTACACAATATACACAAAATTTATTTATAGGTATATAAAAATATGCTCTAATGTACAATAATTTCCTACCAAAACATGTTTTTCTACTTTTACAAATAGACGGATTATTAGTGCTCAGTTATGTAACCCATTCTGTACATGTGTACATCTGTGCTGCAAAATGTTTTTAACCCTAGTACATTTAAATTTTTCTGACATACAGGGTGTATAAAATAGGTCGGAACCCTTGAATATTATAAGTTTTATCAAAAAATGTTTCAGACAAAAGTTGTAGGGTTTAAAAAGTTCTATTTACTGGCAATATCATTTTGACCTTGAAGAGTCACTGGAAGGTCACGTGAAGGTCACTTCAATTTTTTTAAATGGAACACCCTATATATTTTTGCATATTCTTATAGCTTACCTCGAGAGCTTTCTAAAACACTATGATAAACTATTTTTTGATTAAAAACTTTTTGAGTTATTAAGGTTTGAAAGTTCCAATATTTTGACAAATTACAAAATATCTTACAAAATATTCATTTTTCAATAATCTTACCCTAATACTTTTATGCACAGAATAATGAGATAAATTGACTGGCGTAAAGAAAATACACAATTGTTTAAAAAAAAAAAGTAAATAAATTTTCAATAATTAATTAATTAATTTTCTTTACGCCAGTCAATTTATCTCATTATTCTGTGCATAAAAGTATTAGGGTAAGATTATTGAAAAATGAATATTTTGTAAGATATTTTGTAATTTGTCAAAATATTGGAACTTTCAAACCTTAATAACTCAAAAAGTTTTTAATCAAAAAATACTTTATCATAGTGTTTTAGAAAGCTTTCGAGGTAAGCTACAAGAATATGCAAAAATATATAGGGTGTTCCATTTAAAAAAATTGAAGTGACCTTCACGTGACCTTCCAGTGACTCTTCAAGGTCAAAATGATATTGCCAGTAAATAGAACTTTTTAAACCCTACAACTTTTGTCTGAAACATTTTTTGATAGAACTTATATTTTTCGAAATATTCAAGGGTTCCGACGTTTTTTATACACCCTATATGTATTATACAATTTGCATATGTCACAGAAAATAGAGTCAAATTATATTCCACACGATAAATACTTTTTCTAATAATATTAATAATAGTCAGTACATCTTACATGAATATAACGTTTTACTAAAGAATTATTAAATGTCCGAATTTCCATTCTGACTCAATTTGACTCGAACGATACAGGAAGATTAAACGCGTTTGGAAAGATGATTTTGTTTTTTGAATATAATGTCCTTCAATATGTTAATCCAAGTTTATTCGCACTGATAATCGAACGCACGCGTCACTAATCTGTCGGCTGCTTGAGCTGTATTATGGACAGGGTCAATAATAATAGACTGCTGACATTTTTTTAGCGAGAAGAATTAATTTGCTGGAATAAGTACAAAAAAACAAAATCCAATTAATAAACAGTTGGTATAAACGCGATTTGTCCTAAAAAATTGCAAACTTTTTTATTCTATAGCTGTTATTAGTGTCTATTGTTACATTAAGATGACAATCTTCTTATTTACTATTTAATTAGTATAACTTTAAATGCTAACATTATACATGTAGTACTAGCAATTTTATAAAATTCCTGTTAAACTTTTGTGGAAGACTTGTCAGTCAATACAAAATTATAATTTTTTTGAAGCTTTATGAAATTGTAAAGAACATCAAGTTGTGCAAGGATTTTTCTTCAACATGAATTGTTTCTATAGGGTTTAAATCGTCTCTTTCTACAAAATTTTCTGTTTCTTTCTTCCGATGTATCATAAGAAATAAAATACAACAATTGAAACGATGAATCATATTAAAAAACCCGTTTAACTGCAAAAAATTTGTATCATTCCAGCTACATAAATTTTGAAATTTCTCAATCGAACGAGTCATGCAACATACAAAAATGATATTTCGACACAGGTTTCAGCAATTTATAATTTGTAGTATGGCCTGTACAATGGTGATTCGTTTATGACTGAAATTTTACAACTTTTGGACCAAACCCTGCGTTTTTTTAAATGATTCATAAAATTCATGGATATTGAAAAGACTATATTTAACACAATCTTGTCCGATTTTATAACTACAATCACTTTCCGATGTGCGTATAAAAAAAGATTAAATTGTTAATCGAACGAAGTGATTCGCGAACGAACAAGAAAAACAGCGGTAGCAACGTGCATTTCGTATTCCTCCTTGTTTGAATTTTTTCTTTTTCCATCAATTCCGTCGATGCTTATTATTCTTATTTTGCACCGGCGATTGACGGTCAAGTAATATAAATTACGGTACACACCTATAGACCGTTTTCTTCGTCGTATTGACTCAACCATACCGAAGATGACGCCGCCGATGTTACGCAATCAAAAGCCAGTCGAGGTTTGTTTTCTCAATCGAGTCAACGGCACAGTTATTTTAATATATTTCGATAAATGTTAAAGTTGCATCATTCTCACGACGGATATTCGACTCGACGATTCATGAGAAAACGAAGAAGAAAAAGAAGAGGAACAAGGAAGGAAATAGAGTGGA